AGATGAGACCAAAAAATCTCTTCTTGCTCACACCCTCAACCTCTCACTCTCACTCTCTCACGCGGCGGGACAACAGACCGAAGGAACACCAAGGCGGAGCAGTGAGGAGGGGCTACTGGACGAGAGGTGGAAGAAGGGGAAAATGATTCGATTGTAGTGGGTCACGTGACCCCTTATTCATTCCCTTAGGTTTTTTTTTTTTTTTAAAGGTGGGTCACGACCCACCGGGGATTTAACTTCCCCACCCCTCCAAAACAAACAGTAGGTGGCCACGTGCCACCCACTGTTAAAATATATGTATTTTTATATATTATATTTATCTATATATATTTTAAATATATATTAATTATTATTTAAATATTATTTATTAATTAGTAGTCTAACTTGTAATTAAGATTAACTTCAATGATAATTAATTAATCTCATTTTAATAAACTAAAATCTAAATATATCTATTTTTTGATGTTACAACATATAAATCTATGTTATTAAAAGAGATAAAAAATAAAGTGTATTAAACTATTTTATCCGGTCCTTAATATAAAAGCTAGATAACTAAGTTGCGTATATTAAAAATATTAATTAAGTTAATTATTTGTAATACAATAAATAAGTATTGTCTTCTCTAAAATATCTTTGTTACTCTTATCAGTCATGTGCATGACAATGAAAACCATTTAACATATGAATTCACCATGGGAAACTATTTTGAGGGAAAATATGAGAGATAAAATAAATTAGACTCTTATATTTAAAATCAAATTGAATCTTTAAGTAGTATTTATATTTAGGATCAGAAGTAGTATTTACTAAGCATATTATACTCACATGGTTCGGACCCCCTTAATAGACAATTATTGCAGACAGTACTGCAAACTCTACTGAAGCTTGATTAAACCAAAACCAGCACCCAACCAATCATTACTGAGTTTTCAGAAAATCACCAATGCAATTCCAAGAAAAATTTACAACTACTTAAAAGTTTTAATAATAATTGAGTAATTATTGTTATTTATTATGCTGAAATTTGTCATTATATGTTGCTTACTTGTTATAAAACTTTCTGATAATTGCATCCCTTTTTGAAGGTCTCATAATAATTTTTCCTATAAAATTGAACTCAAGCATAGTCCCGGCATTGTCAATTGTTGTTGGGGCTTTGATGTCAGGACCCTTTTGCTTTTTGCGCAGTTCACACCACTGCACATGTCCCATTTTTTATATTTAATCCTCCCCCAATTTTTGATATAAATTCTATTTAATTAATTTTATTATATTAAAAAAATTAGATAAGTTAATTAATTATAAAATTATAACATATTTTTTCTAAAATATTATAATTATCTTTCTTAATATCTTTCATCCCTCATTTATTTGATTATAGTTGAAAGAGTATCTATAAAAATAATTTTAAAAAAATTGATAAATATGATAAATAAATTTTATATTTAGAACTAAAATTAACTTAATAATTAGGTGGAAGAGTAAACTCTAAACCTACACGAACATGAACATGTTAGCGTCAAACTCAAGTTTAGAATCTAATCTAAGCGTGACAGCTAGCAGTACTATTCATATTGAATTCATGCACCCAACTGCTTTTTATTAATTGTGATGTTTTTCTCTCTCTTATCATCTCAATATGAAAAAAAATCTAAAGTATAATAAACAATAATATATTAACTTCTCATTTCAACAATAAGATTAAAATTTGAATGGTCCAAATTTCATCTCTTATAAAATTATGAACAAAATATTAAGTTTTTTAAAAAAAATAAAAAAATGAAACTGCTAAATTAAAGGCATGACAATTTAAAAAATAATAAAAATATTTTTAGAAATTATTCTATAAAATATAAAATCTGAATTGTTCAAATTTTAATTTTAATGATTGAGATGAAGAATAGATAAAAAAGAAAAGCGGAGAAACTCATTTCCCAATGAAGCGGGGCACAGGAGCGCCACATCTGCAAAACCGAATTGGGCCAATTCGTTACAGAAAAAATGAATCTTTTAATTTAATTATAAATTATTTTAATTAAAACAATTCCTTACATTTTTTTTTACTTGAAAATAATGGGCTGAATGAAAGTATGAAATGATGATACTAGCCTTGACTTGACCTCACCTACAATCCCGTTGATAAATAAGATGTTCGGACCTGCTTGTAATAATGTATAAATAGTTTTTCAATAATGATTTATAGAATACAAAGTATTTTATCTCGATTTATATAAAACGTGTTTATAGAGATATTTTAAGCCCTTCCAAACAGGCACGAAAGTTATTTTACAGGGACGCATTTGTCTTTCTTAATAGTGAATCTCAATGATGGCGGATTTGATTGATGATCGTAACATGGATGCACATCAATTGACGACAAGGTCATTGGTGGTCTGAACTTCTTTTCTAATTATTGATTCACATGTCATAGACATCAATTTTCCACCTTTCACATCTCCTAAGGCAGAGTTATGGCTTTCTTAGGGTGTGCTTGGTGTTAAATGTACATTTTATAATTGAATATGTATAAATTTTAGGAGGTATTAAACTGAATTTATAGATATTATATATTTTTGGGATAATTAATTTATAACTCCTTATAGTTTCAACTAATTTTGAATCAGGTCCTTATAGTTTTTTTTTTTTTCAGGTTCTTATACTTTCACCTGTTTTTAATTAGGTCCTTGTATTTTTTTTTTATCAAGTCCTTATGAGTTCACCTTATTTTTAATTAAGTCACTGAATTTTTTTTTATAAATTCTAATAGTACTATTATATAAACATAAAATAGTATATATTATTTAATATTAGTTTATAAACAATAATATTCTAAAGATATTGAATTATTATAATGATTTTAATTTTTTCAGCAAAAAAATTAATCGTTCTAAAAAAATTTCCTAAATTAATTAATTCTATTACTTTTTTATTACATAATTATTAATTTAATTTAATTATTAATATTTTATATTTCAGTATTAATCTATTTAATTAAGCTTATATTTAATTAATAAATAAAATTAAAACTACATGGACCTGATTAAAAGTTTAGTGAAATTATAAGGACTTAATTAAAAGAAAAATAAATACAAGGACCTAATTAAAAAAAGATAAAAGTATAAGGACCTGATAAAAAGAAAAAAAAACTATAGAGATCTAATTCAAAATTCATTAAAACTATAAGGACTTGCGGATTAATTAATCCTATATTTTTTTATTTATTTTTCCTGTAAACATTTTTTTCTAGATAAAAAGTTATCTTTCCACGAAATCTTCTTATATCTTTTCTATTTTGTAGATAATATAAAATAAGATAAAAGATTTTGAAGTATGAGAGAGAAATTATGGGGTCTTGATCGTGATTTCATCTGGAGAGGAACAGGGTATTTTGTTGCAATTTTCGTGGAAGATAAAAAATAAAATCACACAGCGCAATATTATATATATATATATATATATATATATATATAACTACTAACTCCTGTCTTTAATATGAAACCTGGTTGACTAATTTTAAAAAATTAAAAAAATTACTTAATTATAGTGTATGTCACATGATCTATCTAAAATATTTATTTGCATCATTATATTATGTATCAGTTGATAACCCGGGCAAATTTTGTCTGGACAAAAACAATAAGTATAATACTACCTTTAATTCTTAATATAAGAGTTAATTTGACTTTCAATTTGATTCTAAATATAAAACTTCAATCTACTTTGTTTTTCATATTTATCCATTTTATCAAAATAATTCTTGTACTAATTACACATGTTAAATGTTTCATCAAATAATAGTTTTATCTAATACATAAATCAGTAAGGGTATTTTAAGAAAGTCAACACCTAGTTATTACAAATAACTAATTAAACTAATTTTCTTAATCTTATCAAATTAGTTAATTGGGTCCTACATTAAAAAGTATTTTAAAAGTAATTTATTTAACTTCCTCAATTTTAACTGAGACGTCAGGATAGGGAGCTACAGCTTTAGGGTCCGGCTTTCCTCCTCTGCTTTTATCTTTTTTTTCAAAAAAAAAAAACTGCACATTAGATCTACATATTCATGTGCATTTGAATATTTTGGTGGCAGAACTGGTGATGAGATTCACTGGTGCTATATGATCCTATCTAGTGTGCCATCTTCCTCAACTTCTTCTGGTCTTCGCTAAGTTGATTCCGTCAGATCATTATTATCCGGCCAAATCACTCCTTCTATAGCTTGAACCGCCTGCTCCCTCACATTAATTACATTCAATAGTTAACCTTGCTCTTTTGTTTGTTCCTTTCTTTAGTTTTCAAGACGAAACAAAAAAACAACTCCTCTCAAGTAGTCCATTTCTATCTGAATTCCAAAGGCTATAAGGCATCGTAATTGTTTTCTTCTGAATTAATTAACTACACTAGCTTGAAAGCATATTTGATGATTTCTACTGGTAACCTGGCTCATTCGAGAAGGATTCGTGGCCGAATGGTGGACACAATTTGCAGCGCAAGAAAACAATTCAAAACGTTTCTTCAACATCGTAATCATTCTGCAATACCACCTTCAGGTCCCGATTGGTATAAAGTATTAAGAATGAGAGGCAAGAATTGATGTTGAAAAAACCCATTAAAAAGTTAATGTTTAGTATGCAGAATTACTAGTTACTTGGAATTGGAAAATCCCATTAAAAGATGCGGTATTCCCAAGTCCCACCTATATAAGTTTGTCCAATTTTAAGTAACAAGCAATTCCTCATTTTTGAATGCTCTTTTGATGGTTTTCAATGCTGCATACCAAATGAGACCTCAAAGTTTCTGGTTTCCAAAGCTTGGCATTGCCTGCGATTTGTAGCATGTCTTTCAGTGCACTGCACCACAGTTATCTCTGATTCATCTGTTAAAATTTGAAATACTACTTCCAGTCCTAAATATGAAAATTAGAGAATTGGCTTATTTCGATTCTAAATATAAAATTTTGATCCATATTGTCTCACAAATTTATAATTTCCTTTTCAAAGTAGATTGTATATAATGAGAAAGTTTTTATCAAGGAGCAATACCAATGCATATAATTAGAAATGGTATTGTAAAAAGCCAACAGATAAATGTGTATTCAGCAGAAGCTCAAGAAGAGCCTTCAGTTGTATTTTCGCGGCTTGATGAACTGCTAGGTTCACTGTATTCTCCAGTGCTATTGCCTCCGCCTAGTGCCCCCTTCCAAAACTTGTTCAGGTCCACTTCTGTGCTCTCCTCGTTCCAATTATCCACGCTAATCTTTCCTGCTAAACCATCCACTACCTGCTTCATTTTTGCATAAACATCTCATTAAATTTATACAAACTCTTCACAACTTAATCCACACCCTTATTCTTAGTTTGGATGGGAAGAAAAATAGGGAGGAAAGAATACTAGGAGGGAAAACTCTCAAAAACATATTTTAACCTGGCTCATTCGAGGACGACGATCTGCTGAGTGGCGCACACAATTTGCAGCACAAGAAGCCATTCGAAACATCTCTTCGGAGTTGTAATTATTCTGCAACTTTGGATCAGCAAGAACCTCAAAATTTCGATTATCCAATGCCGTGGAGAGTAACCTTCTTGCCTGTATAATCATATAGTAGTATCTATCAATCAGATCCATTCCTCTTTAAACAAAAAATTCGAACACAAACTTAAGATCGAAAAGGAAAAATAATAATGAAGCACCGCACATACCCACTCAACCAGGCTGTCTTCTGTAAAAGACCCAGTTTGAAGAACAGGTTTTCGGCCAGTAATCAACTCCAAGAGCACGACACCAAAGGAGAAGACATCTGCCTTCTCTGTGAGTCTCCCGCTAGATGCATATTCTGGAGCCAAGTATCTGTATTCAATGAAAACAGAACTTTATGCGTGAAGATGGAAAGAAACAATTAATGGTGAAAGAAGGTAATTCAAAGAAACGTATTATCTAATGGAAATCCACGGACTTCATCGAGAGGTAGACCAGAGGATTTAGATAATATAAGACTGTATGTAAGACTTACCCAAAGGTTCCTTTTATTCGAGCTGTAGTGACATGGGTATCAGTGTCTGATGAAAGTTTGGCAAGTCCAAAATCTGCAATCTGATTAATATATACAATAAGCACATATTATTATTATCATCATCATTTTAATTGATATGGATGTTGATACAGTTTGACGATTGTCCTGGATTAAATTGCAACCATTCTATATTTCTTTCTAATACACATGACTTTGGTGTTTGAACAAGATAATTGAGGTTTATCTTTGATTGAACCTCTAAAGAGGTATTAAAACTACCTTTGGCTCAAAATTGTTATCAATAAGAATGTTTGCTGCCTTGATGTCACGATGTATGATTTTGGGTTCACCTACAACGTAACAAACAATATTGGACTGAAAAGTAAAACTTCTGTGAGAGTGAAATAAGTTTTCTTTGTCATGGGACGTTATATCAAGTAATTAAACCCACAGTCTTCATGCAGATATGCCAATCCCTTTGCAGAGCCATTAGCAATCTTCATCCTTGTTGACCAGTCCAGAGTTTCTGTATCTTCTCCTGAATGATTGCACATATATATCCATTATTGTATCTTTACTTGTACGATTAGGCAAGATATCATTTCCGCCATAATGAACAACCATATAAAAGAAATGGCCAATGCATGCATCCATAGGAACAATTTTCCTAAAGTAAGCAACTAATGAGTTATCACACACTGCATGCCAAACCCAAAAAAAAAAAAAAGAACAAAAGATGAATCCTCATCACAATTGTTCTATGTGGATGTCTATGTTCATAGAATGCAGCCCCGTCCTATAGCTGGTAAAATCAAATTTGCCTTTTGAACAATATTTGGGTTCCAATAAAACCCATCCCTCTAGTTCTTCCTTTTTAGGACTAAGACTTCTATTATAGGAACTGTAAAGGGACCTTCTTCTCATAATGCCATAAATAGGGATACTTCAGTTCATTTTTTACCAAGGAATGAAAACCTTATTCAAAATTAACATTAAGAGATTCCAAGACCTTGGAAACATTCCTATCTATGTTTAACATATCTATATACATGTTATGATAATTCCCTTTTAACAATTTTTCATGATTTATCAAGGGAAAATTACAGACTGTGGTTCCAAAGAAGGAACATAATCACCGTAAAGTCTCAAAACTAGTAAATGACAAGTTCTCAATGTAGAAAATGACAAGAAGTTCCAAACTGCTCACTTATTATTAAAATTTTTTGGTAATTATATTCTTTATTTGGGATCTGATAGTGATTTCCCCATATATCAACAGCTAAACGAGTCATTAAAAAACCTACAGAAACCTACAACATTGTGAAACAGGCCCTAAATCATACCGTGGAGTTGGAAGTCTAGGGTTTTATTAGGGACAAACTCATAAACAAGCATCAACGTCCTTTGAGATTCAGCAATGCAGTAGCCAACAAGGGAAACAAGATGTCTGTGATGGACTCGACTAATGACCTTCACTTCAGTCTGGAACTCTTGCATTCCCTGTCTGCTTCCAGATCTTTGCTGCTTAATGGCGACACTTTGATTATTTTTAGGAAGAACTCCTTTATGGACAGTGCCAAAACCGCCTTGGCCCAGAAAATTTGACTCTGAGAATCCATCTGTTGCCAACTCTAATTCTTCATATGTAAATGTGCCCGGTGAGTGTTCAAAAGCAATGGAAGATGGTAGAAGCGAGACTGCAACCTCTTCAGCTGCAAGAGAAGGTAACATCAATGATCAATAAAACACACACACATGTATGCACGTATATATATGTATTGTATAAGGATAAAATTTAAGTCGAGTTATTTATATCTATTGGACCAAGTTTTTCAATCGTAATAGTTATTTTGCTATTATTAACTACTAAATATACATTTATAAATCCACGTATGAACTTGACCTAATTAATATAAGCAACTTGACATATGTTTTTGTTCATAGTAAAATTTAGAGTAAAATATTCTAACATTCCTTGCGTTTTGCCTTAACTACATGCACATCCCTTTTATCTACACTTCAGCATATTTAATCCTTATTTTTGGTTCAAATTATTTTCAAGAGTTTAAGTGTTTTTTTATTTTTCTTTTATTTATTTTTATTTTTTCAAATGATTGTTCCTTTATTTTTTATCATATTGGCATAGAAGTACAAATAATTTAGTTAACACAGATATAAAAAGAAATGATTAAAAATTTCAATAAGTTTTTAATAAACATGTAATTGACTCAATGTTTTTAATAAATGTTTATAAAAAATGTATTTAAAAATTTTAAATTTTAAATATAAATGATTTATATAATATCTCAAACTTATAACATTTATACTCTGACCAAAATAATATGCTTTGAAACATGTTTTTAGCTATTTAAAAGAAAACGATAAATGTGATGAAAAATTAAATTGTAAAATTTTATAATGTAATCAAAATCAATACAAACATATGTAATATAATTATATTTTCTTGCATTAAAATTATTTTTTAAGAACTGTGTTTAAATCATTATTATGTTGATGAGGGGTATTTTGGTCAAAACAATAGTTTAAGAGTCAAACTTAATGGTCAACTAATGGCTTGAGTGAATGAAAATGGATTCTCAATTATATAAGGGAAATTTATATAATATACATTTCAATTTTAAGAAAAGTTAATATACATTTTCAAAATAGAAAGAAAATTTGTATGATTTAGATAAACAAGAAGATAATTAGTTTATTTTACTCAAAAAAGTTTTGATAACTTGTGCGCTATTTAGATGCTTTTTATACCGATGGTCACTATGTTGCCATGCCTCTATTTCACTTACCAACTCAATTCAATATTTCACTTTCGATCTAAAAAAATAACTTGAGAAAATTCCTTGAAAAGACACTTAAATAATCCAAATTTTTATTTGGGTTACTGAATTTGTTAAAGTTATAATTAGGTTATATAACCAAAGAGGGATTGGAAATTTTTAGGAATTGACTATAATGCCTCCTTTTTTTGGAAACCTAGATAAATGAGAATTTTCTATCATTTTCGCATTGCGTAAAAGCTTTGAACATGAAAAACTTAGCGTTTATCATTACAAAGTTAGAAAATCAATCAAGAAGGCAACAGTGAGTTAGTTTTTATATAATGCACTGAACTTTCCTAGTTTCTGTTTATTCAATTTGAAATTTAGTCTAAAAAATTATGAATATCATGTGATATTTAAAATTAAACTCATTAAATCCCATTTAAAAATAATTAATTTTTGTGCTTCATGAGAGTTTTTTGCAACTCGTTTTTTTATCTTTTATCAAGTTATTAATCTTATGACATTTTTATCTCCCATTTTCTTTTTGCAATGCATTGCATTACCTTATTTATTTTGTGTACTAATGAATTCGAATTAGTTATAATTCTTTTTCTAATTTCATATTTTTGAAATTAATGCGTGCCTGCAAATATATATAACATTTTATTAAAATTATGAGGCGATCTGTATTAAAATTTTATGGAATATTGTTTAAATGAAATTTAGATCTGAAATCTCCCATTTAGTTCATGGATAATAACGTTGTAACATGCACTTCACATAGATGGAAATTAATGCAATATACAAACCAGATGGGGATATATAGCCTGCCCTCCCCTACCCCACTTATTTAATTGTTTGTCGTTAATAATAAAGCATGATGTTAATAAAAAGAGTTTACCTCTGCCACCTCTGTTAGATGTGGGGTGATTTAATTTGTTTGCTTTTTGGCGTATGCATTTGACCAAATCAGACTTCTATCATTTCTATTAGTTGTGAAAAAGAAACTTCAAAATAATAAATACTAATTATTTTCTTACAAAAATATGAGACGCATGTGAACATCTTAAAATTAGTCTATAATTCATTACCTCTTTGAGGCGCCTGTTCGTAAATGATCCAAGAAACACAGGAAATGTAAAATAAAATAATGTTTTAGTATATGTCTTATAAATTAAAAATGTAAAATGATATGCTAGCTAACTGATGAGTGTAATGTAAAATCAAATAAAACAAAGAAGAGGAACCTGACCCTCATTGGATTGTAAAGCGAAATGCGTAAATCAAGAGAGGAAATCAGAAAGGGCTTACCAGCTGCTGGTTGGTTTGGTGGTTGTGGTGAGTGCCTCCTCTTTCTCCATACGTAAAAGACACCAATCACCAAAGTCAGCAGCAACAGAGTCATCAGCGAGCTAAGCAAAGCCCCCAGTAATAGATCGCCTAGCTGTGGTCCGGCCGGTGGGGAAGGAGGCGGCGGGTAAGAGGGCGAGGGAGACGGCGAGGTTAGAGATGGCGAGGTAGACGGTGCCAACTCTATAGAGTATTCATCACTGTAGGAGAGGAGGCGGCGGGACGGCCGGGAGTCTTGTGGCGTACAGGCAGAGAGGGCAAAGACATATCGCCGTCGAAGAGCTGTGGCTTCTTCGTTCAAGTGTGTCTCTGTGAAGCAGCAGCGAGCAAGGAATGTCATGGTATATACAAAGACTCATTGACTCCACGTTGACTCTGTCTCAGTCAAAATTATGGAATATTAATTAAATTTTCTTAATTGCACGGTTACAACTGGAGGCATCCAATTAGTGAGATCGATTGCTTTAGAATTTTTCTCACCCATGATCCACGTCTAAGCTGGCCAAACGTGCCCTTCAAGGAAGAATCGAGAAGGATTTTTTTTAATTATCTTTTTATTTTTTTCATGTTTTTTTTTGATAGACCTAGATAAAATGGGGTGTTTACAATACCCTTACTAATCACGTATTAATTAAAACTACTAGTTGATTAAACCCTTAACATGTGAGTTATTTTGCTGTATTTTTTAAGATCTACGTAATTAAATATGTCCCAAATAAGGGTCTCTTCGTGTATAAATAAGTCACACGAATTTGATAAATTATGATGAAAATGCTTGTAAATACGTATGTAAAGTCTGCAAAAATTATGGATCGAGATTATCCACTTGTACATCTAACAAGAGTGAATTGTAAATTTAGAAAGATGACTTTTGAATCCATACATAAAACCAAAGAAGTGTGACTCTAGTGTTAAATATGAACTGAGTTGTATTAAGTTAAAATTTAAAGATTAAGTTACAAGCAAGCTAAAGCTATAAAGATTGTGTTGTAAAATTTAAGGAAAAAATCGCAAGAAAATAACTGAAAATTGTGAAATTGCAAATAAGATATTTTGTCAAAATTTTATTTTCATTTGCCATTCGATTGTTGTTAGAACCTATACAAATCTTGTAACAGGTTCTGATTTGTAATTTTACAATTTTCACGTTTTTTTATTTTTCTTTTAAAATTTAAAAATCAAGTTATAATCCAGTCAAAACTATAAAAATAAGAAAAAAAATTCCTTAATTTAACCTTACCTAGTTGTGATTGAGAAGTCATGGCCGAGGCTGATGGCCGGTCATGGCTTTCTAACTGTGGGTGGTTGACGTCTGCAAAAATACATACTGAAATTAAAGGCTAGTTAACAACTGCAAAGAAAAATACGAATTTATGATACTTCAATATAGAAGTACTGTTCAATAATTCCATATTTTTCAACTTGTTCAGTTTTTTATTTCTAGAAAGATACAAATTATTTTCCTAAGAAATATCTTATTTTAACTTAAATATATTAATGCCTTTTTTCTTTTATATTATCAAAATTTAGCCTCGGTTTTCCTCATGTTGCCGGAAGTTGACTATAATATCTTTTTTATCCTTCGGTTTGTTGGTAATCTTAATTTGGTCATCAGTATGGATAGTTACATTATTGGTAGTCTCTGTAGTTGACGGGTTTTGTCTTTCTACTTTTCTGGCAAGTTGGTGCTCGGTATGTTCTATTGTCTTTATGTACTTTCCTTTCATATATAATTGGCTTTGTTATAAAGGTAAAAAAACAAGAAAAAAAACATAACCCCAATAAATGAGATCAGTTATATGAGATGCATAATAACATTATACTCTCTTTAACACCAATTATTGCAATAAGTTGTTAATCGGGAGATCTTGTTTATTAACTTGTTTAATAAGTGCCCTTCTTATTCTTTCCCTATTTTTCTTCATAGAACTAATTAAAGATTGTTTGCTCACCCCTCCTTATTGACAATCTTTGCATATAATCGAATAATTTTAAACTACTTCTCCTGTTTTAAATGGAAGAGTGATTTTATAGTGTAATTTACACTATAAAATGAGTTTTATATTTATGACTAGAGAAGTATTTTCTATCATTTCCTTATTAATAGATTAATAGATGTTACACCAACCCAACTTTCTACTATTAAAATAAACAAAGAAAAAACCTAAATCACCATCCCCCCCGGGGGCCGGGGTCTAGATCGAGAAGTGTTTTCAAAAGGCTTGGTATGTAAGCGTTCTCATATACCTAGGTATGCAAGCGTAAGCGCTTCAAAATGGCTCTTGGAGGTAATGCTTACAAAATGCTCTTGTAGGTCACGTAAAAGATTTAGACAAAATTATATATTTCGTGCTTTAATTTTATATACGATTAGTTTGGTAGTTTAACCTTAAAAAAAATATATTTTTAGTTTTTTAACATTAAAATTATTAGTCTTAAGTGATGTTTGTTTTGTAACAATCATGGTTGTTTTGAAAATTAAAATTAAAATGTTAGTATTTGATAATGTTTTATCAACATTCATTTTTGCAATATCATCATTTCTTGTTAAAGATTTTTTGATTAAATGAATAGTATGCTTTTTAAAGTAGGGACTAAAAATATACTTTAGCTAAAATAAAAAAAATGTCTTCATTTTCGATTAATAATACCAGCAAATGAAATACGTCAAGAACTAGTCTTCAAATACAACAATAGAAGAAACAGATCAGACATCGAATTTATGCAGAAAATTCGAATGCCATTTCAGCTAATAGGTTAACATCCTTAAATTTCGAAATCTGAAATTAATACGTAAGCATATGTATGTGTGCGTATAAATATATATGCGTGTATGTATGAATATATCTGAAAGTGGGAGAAGCCACATCCGAAGAACAAAAGAGGAAGGAGAAAACACATATCTTATTGTTTTACTAATCTTTTTTTTTTTAATATTTTCTCTCTAAGCAGAGGAAATCTAAATAATTGTGCATACACACACACACACACACACACACACATAGATAGTGGGTTATTAGTCAATTTAAAAAATTACATGTATAGCTAGAAAAGGGGTCTTTAGAGATAGTGTAACTGTTGAAAATATTAAAAGAAATAACTCTTGTGACATGATGATGCATGAGTGTTTCTGCATGATCATGTAGAATGATATTTTAAAACACAGACACACCATTTCTTATGAATGATCCAAGAAGAAGACGAACGAATATGGATAATTTTTATGCAAAACACTGAGTGATTGTAAAAGTAAAATTAAATAAAAACAAAGAAGAGGGAAGAGGGAAGACCAATCTACCAAACCTTCCCAAGCAAAATCCTGAAATCAAAGAAAAGCGAAAAAGGTTTTTATACCTTGGGGTTGTGGTGGTGCAGAGGGGTTTTCTCTTTCTCTCGCCCTGTTCCTTCTCCATATAAACAAACCAGCAGATACTAACCCCACTATCATCATCAGCACCGAACCAATCACTACTCCTGCAATTACCCCGGTTGATATGGACCCATGGGGCACCGGAGGTGGTTCTGCAGGCGGTACATACGGCGGTCTGGGTGGGGGCGGAGGCGGAGGCAGCCAGTAGGGGCCCTCTGGGTCAGGCGGAGGCGGAGGCGGAGGTGGTGCGTCTGTATCAGGCGCAGGGGAGAGGTGTATTCAGAGACGGTGGATGTATCGCCGTCGAAGAGTCGTGGCTTCTTCGTTCACGGGTGTCTCTGCGAAGCAGCAGCGAGCAAGGAATGTCATGGTATATAGCAAGACTCATTGACTCCATGTTGACTCTGTCTCAGTCAAAATTATGGAATATTAATTAAATTTGCTTAATTGCACTGTTCCATACAGCAACAGACGCCGGCTGGATGCATTTAATTAGTGAGATCGATTGCTTTAGAATTTTCTTGACCCATGATCCACGTCTGAGCTGGCCAAGGCTCAGAAATTAATTAAAGTCAATTATATCTATTTCTTACAACGTTAATATTTGGTTCACGACGAAATTAATTTCTCTTGTTTTTTATTGTGGCTGCCACGAGGGTTTTTTTTTTTTTTGGAGAAATGAGGAACTTCATATATTTTCTCATTTTCTTAATTGCGCATATATAATAATGACTTATTTTGCTGTATTTTTTAAGATCTAACTAATTAAATATGTCCCAAATAATTAAGGGGATCTTCATTATAAATAAGTCACACGAATTTGATAAAATATGATGAAAATGCTTGTAAATACGTATGTAAAGTCTGCAAAAATTAGGGAGATTATCCACCTGTATATCTAACAAGTGTGAATTGTAAATTTAGACAGATGACTTTTGAATCCACATATAAAACCAAAGAAGTGTGACTTTAATTTTAAATATGAATGTATATGAAAAAATTATTTAATATTCATTGAAATTATTAAATATCTAATAAAAACATTAAAAGTAATTTTTTTAAAAATTCCGTATAATAAGGATTAGAGAGAGTACCTTTTTTCTTCCTACATCATTATTGTGAAATGAAGATAGATTTTTTAAGTTTTAAGAATATAATGGAGTACGAAAAATTAACATCATGGAATTTATGGTTTCAATGGCTCCAATGAAAAACCCGATAAAAGGAGCTTTGATTTTTAAAGTTTGTTTTTATATTAGTATATTTCATATTATTTTAAGAGAGGAATAAGGACTTTGTGAAAGTCAGCTGAAGACTGGCTAACTGGGGGTTTGTCAATACTATAGCTGGACCATGGAAGAGTTTGTATTTATGAGTATGAATTGTTCTTATTGACCCTCGCCCTCATATTACCGTTTCTTTAATAATATGTTAGTCCTCTAATTCTAAATATAAAACCTTTTTTGTAGTGTAATTTATACTATAAAAAGGGTCTTATATTTAGAATAGGAGGAGTGTAATGTTTGGGGTAAGGTGGAGGCGGTGAGCCTGAGTAAGGCGGAGCCATAGCCCCTTTAAGGGAGAATCAAGGAGGATTTTTTTTTAATTATCTTTTTTTTTTTTTAATAGGCCCAGACAAAATGGGATGTTTATAATACCCTTGCTAATCACGTGTTAATTAAAACTACTAGTTGATTAAACTTTTAACATATGCAACTACTATAATAATTATTTTTTAAAAAATAGATAAATATGAGAGATAAAGTGAATTGGAGTCTTATATTTTGGAGTAAATTGAAAGTCAAACTAGTTTTTATATTAAAGATTAAAAGTGATATCTATTTCTTACAACGTTAATATTTGGTTCCCGGAAAAATTTCTCTTGTTTTTTATTGTGCTGTTACGAGTGTTTTGTTTTGAAGAAATGGGCAGCTTAAAGTACTTTTTCGTTTTCTTAATAGCACTCACTCACTCGCCCACTGATCAGCGTCCTAATTAAAGTTATTTTTTTATGTAATATTTTACTGATCTTAAGGTATCTTTTGAGTCAATTTTTTAACTACTCTCTTTTTTCATGATTTCAGTATCTGTCTTCTATAATTTCACCAACTAGATCTTATGATCGAAATGATAGTTTTGGGTCTTTCTCCCACAATTAATAAAAAAGTAAAATACTCTGACTACTCTTCTAGTTTGTATCAAATTACACAGACCTTTCCTTTATTTTAAAAACATACAGTTTGGTCCAATTAGTTAACACCGTTAGGAATATTCTAAAAATATTTTTTTAACTAAAATTTATATCAAAATAAAATTTATTGATCATTTTACTCCTCATTCTAATAATTTCCTAAAATATATTTTTAAAGTTACATCAATTTTATTCAGTTAAGGCACACATAAAAGATTTGATTAAAAAATAAACTAATTCTATGATTTAAAGTAAAATATGAAAATTATAAAATCTTATGATTTAGATAAAAATTAATAAATTTTATACCATATTAAAAATTTTAAAGATAATTATTTTTTGATTTTATAAAAACATTTTTTGGAAAATATAAATGTCTCAATAATTGTTTATTTAAAAAAGGGCATTTTGGTTAAAAAATAATTTAAAGTCAAACCTAACGGTCAACTAACAATTTAGATGGATGGAAATAAAATATTAAATATAAGAGGGAGCTTTGTGTAACATATGTTTTAACTGTAAGGAAGATTTATGTTTTTAGAATTAAAGAAAAGCTTCTATAATTGAGATAAAATAAAAGGATAATCGGTGTATTTTACTCTTAATAAAAAGAATTTGGGCGCACGAATGAACGCGTGCGATGGGTTGGTTTGAACCGCACAAAAAAAGCGAATGGGAATCCTAACATTTGAACCCCAACAACCATTAACAACTCAGGGACCAAGCACCGCTCAAATTTGAAAAATCATCATGGACATTTAAAAAAAAATGTAATTATTAAAAAATCTCATAACAAGTTCACAACGTTCAATAACAAATTTCAGTGCAAGAAATAACAACAAATTCATATTACTTACTTGTTATTGAAGTTTTAAGAAAATAATGGGGTGCAAAAAATTAACATCATGGACTTTATAGCTTCAATGACTCCAATGAAAAACCCGATAAAAAAGAGTTTTGATTTTTTAAAGTAATTTTATATTAGTATATTACTCTCTTGATTATCCAATTCGCTCACCTTCCAGCCATACCCGTCCCCTTCATTCTTGGTTTTTATTTGACTAACCCCACTCCCACACCCAGCTCAGTCATGGACCATTATGGGAGAAGAAAATTCCAACCTGTGTTTATTAATATCCCAGCTCTTCTCCCTCTTCTTTCTTTTATTTAACTAGCAAAATCCCCCGTGCGATGCACGGCCACAAAAATGTCAATCAATAACTGCTATCGTCCATTAAACATCACTCAATGTGGGGATATCATATCAAAATGAGATTAGAGCAACTCTTTTAAAGCATATGCCGCTAGTTACATTGCCAAGAACTTTGAATAACACTACTCAATGATTTGAAAAGAGGGGGATCCAAATGCCACAGAAAAACAAAATAAGAAAAATATTATGGAGGTACATACATGCGGCAGCAGTTGTGGTGCGCAAGTATAGCAGCAACTTAAGATCATCATCAAATAACACCCTTGTGACACCCCAAAATGAGCTAAGCACAGATCCAATTGCATATAACAACTATAAGTATGATAAAATATCTCGCTCCGTCCAATAAATATTGAATCTTGCTATTAATAGAAATTACAAACATGAACTTGTGACTTATTAACAAATGAAGGGAAAATTGTCATACCATGATTCTTATAAACCATGCCAACAGCATATTGTGTAATTAAAAAATCCCCAGCTCTCACCCCCTGGCTTTTATCTTGGCAAAAGCAACGGCAGCACACTCATCATAAAGCTTAATACTCAACTCCTTTGATTGACTGATAAAATTTAATTTCCATCACCGCAAAAAGATAAAAGCATCAATATGTAAATTAAAATGGGATAACACATTAAGCTTACAAGATCAAAACCACAATACCATCCTTTTGACGTGACCACTTCATGTATTATAATCTCCAATTCCTTCCTATATATTCCAATAAGCTTTATAGGACTAACAAAACTCCAATGTTTCAAAAGTTCATAAATATCTGCATCATCCAAAACTTTTTTAGAAATCATATTCACCTTCAAGGCTTCAACCATTCACAAATCAAAAATCGTGACAAAATCTTGTCATAAAAAAAAAATTCTTCAGATATTCCCCCATAAATTTCAAAAACATTTTTCAAGTTAAATGAATAACAGGAAACTCATCTATTCTCTTCACAGCCTTAGTTGAAGCAACGAAACATATATACTGTTTGTCATGCAGACCAAGATCACCAACATGAACATTAAAAGCAAAAATTTGGTACGCACCACCTTCAACAAACTTCGACGCAAGTTGCTCACTGTGATCATTAGTCATTAAAAAAAACCTATTTACTGTTACTATTATATTATTTAGAGTGAAAAAATTATTATATTCTTATAAACAAACCCTAAGCACTCTCCTATAAAACCTTCTTTTTCCTAGTCACTCTTTTCTACTATTGTCTCCACACTAGTCAGGTATTATTCTTCTCCCATTCTTTCCTCAAGTCAATCACCATTTTTCTTCAGTTTATTACCACATAATCTCTTTCATTCTCATATCTTCATTGTTCTTTTTCGTCCTCTTTCCTTTGCTATGAAGATCAATAAGACCTCCTCTTGTACAGCATCAGACCCTACGAATTAAAGCATACATTGTTCGTGGCAAAAAGGAGCACAAGTCGTTCACCAAAAAAAAAAAAGGAGCACAAGTCAGCCAAACATCCTGTCAGACCCATTCACCACTAAAATTAATTAGGGATGTTTTCCCAGGAAATTTCAGCCAATCCACTTACTAAATAAGTAAGCCCATAAAATAAGGATATGGACAACATTAGTATTGTATATCCATACAAAAAATTCTTTCAGTGCCCTATAAATAGGACTAAAAAATACATTCTCTCTCTACCCTATAAATAGGACCAGAGGAGCACGTTAGCTTAGACGCTGGTGGAGGCATTTAATTGGTGACATTGATTGGTTTTGAATTTTCTTCACCTATACGATCCATGTCCCAATACCTCAGTGCTGACGACAACCAAGAAATAAAGTCAATGTCTATTTCTTACGACGTTAAGATTTGAGAACCTAAAAACTCCTAAAATATATCCCTCTTTAACATAAGAACTAATTATACTCGGTTTCTTAAATTTATAATGTTTTCTTTAAAATATCCCTATTAATTATTCTAAACTCTTATATAATTCTTGTTGAAAAGATAGAAAGACGAAAAAGATGATAATGATTTGTAAATATAGAAGGAAATAAAATTTTAATAAGGATAAACTTGAAATTTTTTTATCAACTTAACACATATTTAATGACTTAATTATCATTCATTGATATGTGAGAATTCATTGAAAAGGAC